AAGTAATACAGATGAATTTCATGTGTGAGAGGAGTTTCCCTAGTCAGCTTTTCATTGATTCTGAGAAAACTTATGTGGAGGAAAGATTTATTTTGGTTGATGGTTTTATAAGGTTCATTCTGAAGTCATCTGGTCCAATTGTTTTGGACCCATAGAGGCCACAGTAAAATCATGATGACATAATCATGAGGTAGAGGAAAGTAATTCACCATTTCCCAAATGAGGATCAAAGAGAAAGATCCAAAGGGATTGGGGTCCCAGTATCTCTTTCAACTGCATATGTCCAAGGCCTCATTTCCTTACACTGGGTCTGACCTCTGTAAAGTTCCAACACTTTCCATGGTACCACAAGCTGGATCAGAACCAAATGGACCTCTGAGACACATTTGAGATCCAAAACATAACAGAATCATACAGTAGGAGCTCCATGATGGCCACATAATAACATTTCTGAGCTACTGCTGAAAGTGATTTAGACAGTTTTACCATGTGCATCATGATTTCCTAAATGTAATATGATACATTTGTGTGTGGGGCCAAGTTACTTTGTCTTGATTGTGGTAATGTTATAGTAAGTAGTAAAATCCTGAAGTATAAATACCCTAGCTTTATTTTATCTCAGTGATATTTAATTGTTCAAAATTTTGCAATTCTCTATAAATTTTTGGATCAATTTTATATTTCTACAAAAAAGCTACGTTTTACAGCTGTTGTTAAATGTACTTTTGTCATATCTTCTTGATGAAATTATTTAAAAACTCCATATCTCAACTCCTTCAAGGGGACCAAGTAGGCTGACTGTAGACCATCAGCCCTCCTTCTGTCCCTCTAGACCCAGTCGGACAGTCTAAAACCCCGCTCTGCAGCAAAATAACTGATGCAGACTTTCCTGCCCTCCCCCATATGTATCTGCTGTATATTCCACAGATGCTCCCCTTCTAATCTCTCTCCTTTATCCCAGCCAACAACTACAGCAGGCATTCCATGCTCATCCAAAAGCCACTCCTGCCAGGGAAGCAGGTCGATTGACTGTAGATCTTCACCTCTCCTTCTGCTCCTCCAGATACAATCTCTTCAGTCTCATCCCCAGTTCTGAGGCAAACTATCTGCTGTGGTATCCCTTTTTTCTCAGACTCCAACCCGAATAGATCATAAAGATCTTCTCCTCTAAGATTCCCTCTCCCAAATCATGCTAGCCTCCAACACAAGCAGACTTTCCCTGGGAACAAACCAGCTTAGTAGGACAGGGAAATAGGTTCACAGAACATTTTCTACCGGAAACATATAACCAACACACTCTCCTAAAGTCCAGGGAGGAAGCAGAAACCAAGGAACAAAACAACTAACCAACAAAGACAAAATCATCACCTAGACCCATAATCATCCTAATTCCTGATGCCAGTGGGAAAACACTATCAAGAGCAAAAGTCCCCTACTCAATCAGATGCCAGACCACCTGCTATATAAAATCCAGGTAGGCCACCTGCCCATGGATATCTCCCACTCCCACTCTCAACATCCTTAGTCATCAGGGAAATGCAAATCAAAACAACCCTGAGATTCCACCTCACACCAGTCAGAGTAGCTAAGATCAAAAACTCAGGGGATAGCAGATGCTGGTGAGGATGTGGAGAAAGAGGAACACTCCTCCATTGCTGGTGGGATTGCAAGCTGGTACAACCACTCTGGAAAGCAGTCTGGTGGTTCCTCAGAAAACTGGACATAGTACTACCTGAGGACCCAGCTATACCACTCCTGGGCATATACTCAGAAGATGCTCCAACATATAACAAGGACATATGCTCCACTATGTTCATAGCAGCCTTATTTATAATAGCCAGAAGCTGGAAACAACCCAGATGCCCTTCAACAGAAGAATGGATACAGAAAATATGGTATATTTACACAATGGAATAGTACTCAGCTATTAAAAACAATGACTTCATGAAATTCTTAGGCAAATGGATGGATCTAGAAAATATCATCCTGAATGAGGTAACTCAAGTAACTCACAAAGGAACACACATGGTATGTACTCACTGATAAATGTATATTAGGCAAAGAGCGTGGAATACCCAGGATATAACTCACAAACCATTTGAAACTCAAGAGAAAGGAATACCAAAGTGTGGATGCTGCAGTCCTACTTAGAAGGGGGAAGAAAATAATCAAGGGAAGTAGAGAGTAGTAGGGACTTGGGAGGAAGAGAAGAGGAGGAAAAAGAGGGGCAGAATCAGGTATGGGAGGAGATGGAGGAGATGTAAAGAGGGTCAGGAAATTGAACACAGGTGTGTAGAAATGGGGGATGGGCAACTGGAGGTAGACAACAGAAAGTCCCAGATGCCAGGAAAGCAAGAGACTCCCAGGACCCCATGGGGATGACATTAGCTGAAATACCTCAAAAAGTGGACGGAGAATTTGTTGAGATCATATTCAGAGGTTAGGTATGGCCCCCATTTGAGTGATGGGGCTACCCACCCACCTCCAAAATTTTACCCCAGAATTGTTCCTGTTTAAAGGAAATACAGGGACAAAGAATGGAGCAGAGACTGAAGGAAAGGCCATCCAGAGACTGCCTCACCTGGGGATCCATCCCACATGCAGACACCAAACCTAGATACTATTGCAGATTCCAAGAAGTGCATGCTGACGGGAGCCTGGTATAGCTGTCTCCTGAGAGGCTCTGCCAGAGCCTGACATATACAGATGAGGATGCTCACAGCCAACCATTGGACTGAGCACATGGACCCCAATGGAGAAGTTAGGGGAAGGACTGAAGAAGCTGAAGAAGCCTAATCTTGTATCAATGGGAGGGGAGCCCCTTGATCCTGTGACAGCTTGATGCCCCACTGTAGGGAAATGCCAGGGAGGTGAGGCAGGAGTGGATGGGTAGGTGGGCGAGTACCCTCATAAAACCAGGATAAGTGGGGATGGGATAGGAGGTTTTTGGAAGGGAAATTCAGAAAGGGGATAACATTTGAAATGTAAAGAAATAAGACATCCAACTAAAAAGAAAAGGATTAGTGACAAGATTCTTGTTAGAAGGCAGTGGATGTGACTAAAATGGTAACATGAGTAAGCTTTATGGCAATAGAACTATTATATCTCATGACTGTGAAGATGTATTCATGAGTCTTCTGCATTGAAAATTATAAAATAAACATATATAAATGAGTACAAATAAAAAATAAAAATTAAAAATAAAATGGATGAGTTGTATCTATGTTAATATTCTGATTATGATATTAAGCTATAGTTTTTCAAAAAATTTATAACTTAGGAAAAATGTAGCACAGCTAACTTTTTTGTATGAATTTTTAAGATTTTTTTTAACGTATGTGAAGTGTTCTATCTGCATGTACACGTGCATGCTAGAAGAGGGCATCAGATTCCATTACAGGTGATTGTGAGCCACCATGTGGTTGCTGAAAATTGAACTCAGGACCTCTGTGAGCCACCATGTGGTTGCTGAAAATTGAACTCAGGACCTCTGGAAGAGCAGTCAGTGCTCTTAGCCGCTGAGCCATCTCTCCAGCCCCTGGTGGTGGTTTTAAACTATGTGACTCTTCAATTATCTTGGAATAATCTTCAACATATAATCTTTCAAAATATCAAATTGATCCTCTTAAAACTTACAAAGTCTGGAACAAAACAAGATCTAATTAACAAAAAAAGCTATTTGCTTTTCTATTTGTTTTTATTTTAATTTTTTGAAAAAAAAAAAAGATGTGTTTGTATAATTTTCCATAAGGACAAACAACATTGCAAATGAGGCCATAAGATGTTCCAAGGGACTAAAGGTAATTTGTCTCAATAAACGTGTGAGCTTCAATACAGACAAGCATTTCTACTATGTCTACCTCACCTTAGAGATACTTTAGGCTAAAATTAATCTGGATGTCTAGCTCTCTCAGATTCAGCTTTCAGTTGAGGTTTAATTTCAACTATAGGCTGTATCAGGGCCTTAAATGAAGACTGGCCTTATGATGGCACTGTACTGTACTAATTTGGGTATGGAGGTGTTTTAGCCTCAAGATCAATAGGTAAAGATTGATAGGTAAATTTAGGAGTCGAGGGCATATTTATGCTGTCCATTGGTAGGATCATGAATCTATTGACATCCATTACAGGATGATTCTGAGCTCTTACTGAATCAGTAACTGGTTGAGCTTGAGTTTGAGGATCCTTTTTTTTTTTTCAAAAGAAGGTATATTAAACATTTCATTGTGTAGTAGAGATTCCATGGGCGGATCTGTTTCGATAACAGCTGCATCTGAAACAAAGAGTCCCGAGGGTTTCTCTCCTTGAGATAAAGAGAAATTTGGTGGTAAGTTGGCCTTAGTTGTATATTGATTTTGAGATCCATTTGGTAGGGCTCTCAAAAGATTCTTGTATTTATCTAAATCAGTAGCATTTTCCGTCCAAGAAGCAAAAGTCATAGTATTCTCATGGAAATTTTCAGGCTCGACTCTATCATCTTTTGATGAACTTGATTGTTTAAATATATCTGCCAGGATTTTATTAAAGGACTCATCAGTATTATATGCTGCAAAACCGCAGGGATTAGCACCATCAGTCTTAGGAGACATATATGATATAGTTGTGTCAGAAACAAGCTGAGATAATGGAGATTTACTTAAATTATCTGTATTATATGGAGCAGGATTCTGAGGATACTGAATTAAATTCTGTTGAGAATTTTCTCGGAATCCAGCAACAGGCAATAACTTGACAGGTTGTGGGGTCTGGCTTTTACCAAGGAACAATCTATGACTATCAGCCAAATAATTCACATCACTAAAATTAAAGATTGTTGGTACATTGTTTGTATGTTTGGTTTGTGGAGAAATATCTAAGTTTCCTTCTAAACCCCTCACAGAGGAATTATGGAAGGCCATTGGGATATAATTAAGGCTATGTTTGATTTGGGGAACATGCTCATTTTCATACAGTGTCCTACAGTGTAAGGAGGAAGTAGGATTCAGTAGCTTCTTAGATGCTTTGATGAATCGTTTTATCCAGGAAAAGTAAGGAGCTGTTCTAGTGATGACTGTGGGATTTTGACATATCCTTGAAGTCTTATGTATGAGACCCACTAGTTCCCAGTGGTTCTTTAGGAGGCATAGGACAGGACTGGCTCTCTGTATCTGAATAAAGAAACCAAGAAATATATGTCACTCATGCGGTCTACCTTGTATACACGCCATATACTATGTGAGGGGGAGGGGAAAATCCAAATAATATTCATTATCAAGCAGCTCCCAAAAATTACCAATGTAAGACATGGCCATATACAGCTGAAACTTATGGTAAAAGAATATAGACTATGTCAGTACTAATTATACATTTTCAAATTCTTATGATCAGCCACTTCATCAGCACTGAGCTTGGATTTCTAAGAGTTACATCAAACTTAATATTAAAACCTCAAAGAACCACTGATCTTCATACAAAATCTTCCTTTTGCTTTATCTTCCAAGTGACAGTCACAACACCCCTCCAAAAGTTCAAGTTTAAAAAAAACTTGAGGGGTGATACCCAAGGTAGGCTCCTCTTCTCTGAGGAGAAGGGAATTAGCAGTGTGGGGGTGGGAGGAGTTATAAGAGTAGAACTGAGACAAAAGGAGACAGGGGGCTGTAATCAGGATGAAAAGTGAATAAAAAAATAAAAATTAAAATAAAAAACTTGACATCATTCTTAGTGCCTCTCTTTTCTCCACATTATGTCACCAGTCTCTCAATGAATAATGATTCTAATACTTTAAATAATTTCCCTAAATTTATTTTAATAATTAAATAACTTTGTCATCTAGGAATGCTTCTATTGTTGTTAGGAAATATAGTATTCTTTATGAAAAGGCATACTTCTTGCCCTTCTCATATCTGATCTTAACAGCATCCAAACTTATTCTCTTAAAATCTAAGAGAGACCAATAAATACATCTTTCTGCTTAAAAACTCTCCAAGGAGTGCTTTCAAGTCTTAACAATATTAAAAGTGAAGTTCTCATAATCGCTTAAAAGACCATAGAAACCCTTATTACTACCTTGATGCTACCTACTACTGCTGTTGGCTAAGATGCTATAACCACCTGGCTTGTCCTTTCTGTTATTTAAATATTCCAGACATATTTACACATCAAAATCTTTGTATTGGCCTTTTCTATGCACTACACGTGTAACACTGCTCTGATATTCAAATGACTTTTCCATTAAAACACTTTTATTATTTTTTTAAACAAATGTCTTTTCTGATTACCTAGTTGTATTGAATGGGATTATATAGACAAAAAATTTTTTACTTGTATCGTGTATTGCAAGTATTTTAGGCTAACACTGTCTTTGCAGTTCAATTCTTTCAGATTGCAGATGGAATTCAAGGTTATAATAAACTCTGCTCTGTGTTTATTATCCCAATGCAGTTTACCCAAAATAGTTAATATCATGTCTGTTATTATTTACTTATTATTGATCACCTCTCAAAACCATATAAACTCATGAGAACATGACCTGCCCTATCATCACTGTCATTACCATAGTTCAGAAAAGGTTAGTTTGTAAATTGTTGTTTCACATTACTTCACTGGGTCTTCCCTTTTAGAGCATTTTCATACCAACTATGAGTAAACTACAGAATATACATTTTGTCACTTCATTTCTCTTGTCAAAATCCCTGTCCTCTAAATAATACAGCATGCTTATGTTATAAGGTAAGAACACCTGCAGAATCTGCCCCATGATTATTGCTCTCTCACTTCTCTCATAGCTCGTGATCTAAATAGCACTTTTCCCCTCAAACCAAGGTATTTTTACATTTTTCAAACTTGTCTTATTCTGCTTCCTTTGACCTGAATACCATCATATCATTTTATGCTTCTTATCCTATTTGGTAAATGGCTACATATCTTTAAATAGTAGTTGAAACATTAACTTCAACACATCTTAAATTAACCTTCCTTTTACTCTCAGTGCCAATTTCATACTGTGCAGATAACTTCTGTACTTATTTGTCCTATGGGGTTACTACACTTTGCCTTCTGTACAAGAATGTGAGCTTTGGGTGCTGGTACCATGAATAATTTTTCTACCACCACCATACTACTGTAAGTCCTTTGATGTTTGTATCTACTCTGGTTCCTTTATCTCCACTATCAGACTGTTATGCTAAGGACTGACCTCAGCTGATTCTTTTCTATCTCACCAAATAAACAGCAGTCCCCTCAAGTGCTTGCTTAAAATCCTTTTGCAACAGTGTGTTTCTAGATACTAACATGAGTCCTGATAGTCAATATGTTTCCAGAAATAGTACTGCTATTCATCTCATCCCTTGCAATGATCCTCTATGACACCTAGCTTCTAACTTTATAGCTGTGCATGTGTTATCCTCTCACTTCAATTTGAAACAGGGTTATGAACAGTGTTCCATTCATTCTTGTTTACTTAAGTATTTCTCATCTCTAAAGACTTAGCACTCAAGGCTGGTCATATCCTACAGTAATTCAGTCAGGATCTTCACAGTTCAAATCAATTCTTTCCTTGAAGCCTTTCAACAATATTTGTGTGTTGTGATTTCAAATTGTCCAAGTTATTTTAGTACCTACAAATTTTCTTGCATAGGGCTTTATTTTCTACAGCCTTTCTACATGAATAGGTGGAATGAGTTGTATCTGTGCCTTCTAAACCTCCACACAGCTAAGTTTAAGCCATACAATATTCATTATAGTACCTACAGAGAGGCTATAATAAAATTTAAAACAGAAAGATAAAATGTATTTGTGCCCATTAATTCTTTTTTATATTTCTCATTTGTGCAAATTCTATGCCACTCAAATATCTAATGAAACTTCCTAGATTCACATATTTGCCTGACACTAACTTCCTTATGTCCTCTTATCTACCATTTACTTGCTTATTCATATAATTCTACATTTTTGCATTTCCTTCTTGTTCTTAATATTGTTCTGGTATATGATTACCCAGCAATCTTCCCGTGGTTGACTCTGAATACACAAGCCCACAGTCTTCTCTAGATAGGAATGTTGGTGGTGGCATGTTGAGAAATCTAGCAGCTGCACATCTATCTTCTTTACTCTGGTGGTTCCAAGCTTCTTGCTACCTAAAGGCATATGTAAAGGATAATGCTGAGACACAAAGCACCATATCTCAGACTTTGGTTTGTTACCACTCTCAATTCTGTCACATAATCTTCCCAACACAGTCATTTTCCCTTTCTTCCTCTCCTTTCCTTTCCTCCTTCATTTTTATTCTCTCTTTACATATCTCCTTACCTTGTACTTTCTGAACTGTCCAAACCTTCCTTAAACTGTTTTAATGGTTAGTCTTTTGTTTTGTTTTGTTTTGTTTTGTTTTGTTTTGTTTTGTTTTTTCAAGACAGGGTCTATCTGTGTATAGCCATGGCTGTCCTTGAACTTGTTCTGTAGACCAGGGTGGCCTCAAAATCATATAGCTCTACCTGCCTCTGCCTCCTGAGTGTTGGAACTAAAGGCATGTGCCACCACTACACAGCACAGTAGTTAGTCTTAATTATAAACTTGATCTGATTAAGAAAGACCTTGGGGTACCTAAGTAAAGCTCCCTTCTGGGCACATCTTATAGCATTTCCAAACATCTAGCTCATGACCACTCTGAACAAAACAATGAATTAATCATTTGTTAGATATAATATGATAGCAGTATTGAGATATAGTTAAAAGTACAAAGTGTACCCTAGTTGAAGAAGTAGTTAACTAGGGACATACTCTTGGGCCAATATCTTATTTACTCTTGCTCTTTCCTATACTCTTCCCTTATCTCTACTTCCTGACAACTAAGAAGTGAAGCACAACCTCTACCACATGCTTCAATTGCTATAGTGTTCTCAACAGTACACAGAGACAAGCAGCCAAATATGGAACTTTCTGAAACCATGAGTCAAAATAAATCTATCCTGTCTCAAATCATCTCTGTTGGATCTTTTATCACAGCAACAAGAAATAACCTGGATATAAAAAGAGTTCTGTAACAAGAGGTGAGACTTAAATCTAGGTATAGCCCATTCCTTTCTTATGGTACAGTTTATCTTCCAATGGATTGATGTGATATGGACATCAGTAATGACTCCCACTATTTTTTCTGGATTATTTTCCCCTCGTTAGAGACTTAATTTCTTTAGAAAATGAGTCATAGTCCTAGATTCAATATCACAAAATAGTGTAACTCGACTCCTTTTACTTACTCTGATATTCATACACATAACAGCTTTTGTATTGGCACTTAGAACAACTCTTCAAGGATATATTAGTGGACTGAGATAGTGGTATTTCATCCCCATAGATAGGCTCTTCAAAAATGACCAAGCCAATATCTGCTTTCACTGGGTCATTTTCATCTTTGAGATTAAACTTTGGATGGAGGCAGATTCTTTGGCCATGTGGAATACTTTCTGGATCATTTACTCCTGAAATGTCCAGGCGTAACGGTTTCCTAGGGTAAGAAAAGGATGTGCAACAATCTAATTGATGATAATAAAGGATCGTCCATATACTATCTTATAAAAGGCATTGTTTGGCAGCATAGGTCAAATTCAAAGTTATAAAATAACCCAGCTCTTCATTTATTTGACATCATAACCTTATCTTAATTCCAGGCCGCACCATGCCCATATAAGGACTCCTGTTAGCCTTTGGTTCCTTTACAGTTCTACTGCTCTATCACCAACTATTTGATTCTCAAAAACTTGCTTTTTATACTTGGATCTTAATGAATTCCATAAATCGTGAAGAGAAGGTCAGCCTATCCAAACCCCATTTCAGATGTAGCAGTCTCCAAATTAAAAAATAATCCCAGATTCTCCACCTTGGATCCCCCAGTGGCTACAACAGTCTAGACTCAGGTAGGCACTCTCCGCTCTCCTTTCTGCCCTCTCTAGTCTTATCCCCAACCCTGTAACAGATTGTTCTGATGTACCTCTCCTCCCACCCTACCTTCAATCCCTGAGGATGCCATAGAACTTGCTTTGAACCCAGCCTTCTATCAGCCACGAATACATAGAAAGAAGTTTTACCTGGGTCCCGCTGTGGACACTCTGGTCCTGGATTCGGGTAGATGATTTCACTTTCCTTTCTGTCCTCCATTAAAATCTCTCCCATCTCATCCCCAGCCCTATAACAACATGCTTGCAGGGGCCTGTCCTCCAATCCTAACTCTATTCCCTGGGAGACTCCATCAATCCTTGCTGTGCACACAGATTTCCTCCTTCCAGTAGTCCCACTCCACTGCCCTCCTCCTTGTGTTCCATCTCCATTCTTTTATGTTAACCCCCACCCAAATCTGAAAACCTCCCTCTACCCAGGGACCATAGTGGCCAAAACTGATGTTCCTGTCTTCCATTAAGATCTCTCCATTCTTACTCTGATCCTGGTAACAACTTGCTTTCAAGTGTCTCTTCCCCTACCTCAACTTTATTGACTGGAGACTCCAGATCCTAGTTAAGACCCTAAGTTCCCCTAGTCCATCCACCACTGTTTCTCCAGATTATTCTTTGTCCTACTGCAATTTACTTGCAATATCCCATCTACCCATCACACATGCAATTCCCAGGGACACTGTCTCTCAGTTTAAACAGGATCCTTTCAGCTCTTTCCTGAAGCCCCTTTAAGCATTTCCTCTCAGCCCACCTCTATTCCTTTCTATCATCAACCAACATGAAGAAGCACTTTCTACCATGAAAACCACAACCACCACACCTTTCCTAAGAAAGGACGAGAGGCCTTTTGTGAGTGGCTACGAACAAGGATGCACTGCCCTGAAGGTGTCAGGCACAAGTTGGGAGTGTGGGGTTATACTTTCCATTCCCAGAGTGCCATACACTGCTACTGTACAAATGTGCATCTTCGCACCCAAACATGTGGTTGTCAAGTCCTGTGCATCTTTGCACCCAAAGGTTGTCAAGTCCTGCTTCTGGTACTTCATGTCACAGCTGAAGATAATGAAGAAGTCATCCAGGAAGAATGTGTACTGCTGGCAGGTGTTTAAGAAGTCACCCCTGTCCTGCCTGTGAAGAACTTTGGTATCTGGTTGTACTACAATTCCCTCAGTGGCACACACATGTACCGAAAGTACTGGGACTTGGCCACTGCTGACACAGTCACACGGTGCTACTGCAACATAGGTACCTGATCATGAAGGTAGAAGAGATTGCAGCTGGCAGGTATCCCTGGCAGGCTATCAAACAGCCCCACCACGTGTTGTGATGCCAGTACAAGCCATGCTTCACCAACAAGAGGCACAACATCTTCCTCCAAACCCATAAACCCACTGAACAAAAACTCTAGACTGTCAAAAAGGAAGGGGGGAGGGACAACAGAAAGCAAGGAATAGAACACCCACCCACCTAACAAAAACAAGGCCAGATAGCAACACTGGAATCACCTCAATCAACCCAACAACAGATGCCTAGACATCAGCACAGAAGCACAAACATTAACAACCAAGAAAATAAGCTTACACCAGAACACAGCAACAATCCTACTACAATAAGCCCTGTGAGGGGCTGGAGAGATGGCTCAGCAGTTAAGAGTACCGACTGCTTTTTCAGAAGTCCTGAGTTCAATTCCCAGCAACCACATAGTGGCTCAAAACTATCTGTAAAGGGATGTAATGCCTTCTTCTGGTGTGTCTGAAGATAGCAACAGTATACTCATATAAATAAAATAAATAAATAAATAATATCGTTAAAAAGAACCAATAAGACCTTCGAAATGCAATATAGCTGAATCACATGACAAGGACTTCAAAATAGCAATTGTGAATATATTCAAGAATCTTAAAGAAAATATTAATGAATTCCTTAATGAAGTCTGTGAAAACATAAACAATAGAACAAAATAATGAGAATAGTTCAAGACATGACAGTAGAAACAGAATCACTAAGAAAAACCTAAGCTAAGATAAAACTGGAAATGAAAACTTTAGAAAGTCAAAACAAAAACCTCAGAGGTAAGCCTCACCAACAGAGTATAAGATGTGGAAGAAATAATCTCAGGCATTGAAATCAAGACAGAATAAACTGATACCTCAGTCAAATAAAATGTTAAATCTAAAAATTTCATACACAAAACATTCAGGAAATCTGGGACACTAAGAAAAGACCAAATCTACAAATAATAGGCCAGAAATTGCAGTCAAAAGCAGAAAAAATATTTTCAAACTCATAGAAGAAAATGTCCCTAAGTTAAAGAAGGAGATATATATAAAGGTATAAGAAACATACAGGGGCTCTTTATCCTATTCAAGTTATTGGAAGGAGGTTCAGAATTTAAGAGTAAGGAGCCATCTAGAGTGTCATGCCAAATACCATTGGATTCATGTTCTACAATTTACAGCGGTAGTCATTATAATTAGAAAGAAGTTTAATGACACATGCAGTGTATTTGGCATAATTCTAACACCTCTTTGGATGTTTTAACTTTACATAGTGAGCTTATGAATTTCAAGAATGCTGATTTGCTGAGCGTTGATGTGGCAGATACTGCTGATAAAATTATCCATGGCCTAAGATCAGCATTTCTATTTTGGTCAAGCTTCAAAAATGGCATATATAACTTGATCATGCTAGCCCTTTTTGTCCTGGGAATACTTTTATTCCTGCCCATCCTGTTGAAGCTTTTTTTCAACAACATCAACATGTTGGAGGCCAAAGTACATGGCTTGAACCTGAAAATGGACCCCCAGACAGAGTTATTAAATTAACAGGCTGGCAAGCCAAGGACGGGTAAGATTCTGCACAGAGCCTTACCAACCTAAGACATAAATCCATATTCTATGTCTGGTAAGGAAGGCATTCCTGTCAGAACAACCTAAGACAGGCTCAGTCTTGTTAATGAAATAAAAAAGGGAGAGAGGTAGAGAGCCTTTGGGGCTTCTTCGCAAGAATCTGAGATGGACTAAGGACACGGAAATGGACTGCTTGGCAGGAATATGACATTGGCCAAGGACAAGGAAGCAGGCTTCAGGCAGGAATCTGACATTAGGCTAGAACAAAGAGGTGATTTCAGATAGGAATCTAAATCTTAGGCTAGAACAAAGAAGTAATCTCAGGCAGGAACCTAACTATTAGGCTTGAACAAAGAACTAATTTCAGACAGGAATCTAAATTTTAGGCTAGAACAAGGAAGTAGGATTCAGACATGAAAATTACCTTGGGCTAGGACAGGGAAGTAGACTCAGATATTTTGGTCATCCTGACAAGCCCTTAGAAAGAGTGATCATGGGAATGTTCACATAATTGGGTTTAATGCCTTACTTTTTCTTTAACTATTTGTGTTTATTGTCTTGCTTGTTCCTTGACTATTTGCATCTTATTGTATTGCTAGACCCTCAACCTAGAACTGACCTTAATACTTGCATGTAATTAATATGGTATAAAAGCATAAAGGAGGAGGGAGATGGGGCAGGGGGTTCTAGGGAGGGGAAATGGAGAAAGGGGATGACATCTGTATTGTAGATAAATAAAATATCCAGTTTAAAAAATGAAAGAAAGAAACATACAGGATTGCAGAGAGAAGAGGGGCCATATCTAGACCTGTGAACATCTGAATAATTACTAACCTAATATTTCCTAATATTTCAGTCCAGCACCATGCAGGCCCAGATGGGCTCCTTGGTCAGGGAATAAGCTGGAGACTAAGGGAGCCCTACCTGGGACTATAGGCCCCAGGCAAAAGTGAACCTGAGACAGACAACATTCACATGGGGCCACTTGGGTGAGTATGGGTGAGTAACAAGCTAGAGATGATCACTAGACCAATGCCAGGGGGCTCAGACAGGGACCTAGCCTGAGATGACCACCAGTTGGTGCCACCCACATAGGCCTTTGGGGCAGACCATGCTAAGATGAACTCTAACCAACACTATAATGCACAAGTGGAGCATAGTACTTCAAAGACCACTCCTGAGATGACATCAGATATTCAGAGACCTCAGGAGCCACTAAGAGAAGCAAGTAAGTGGTGGAGAAATGGAAGAGAAAGAGAAACAGAAGGATTCAGGCACAATGAAGAGAGGCAGAACTCGAGGGTAGTGAGGAACAGTCTGATGTGAGTAGTCAGTTATGCCACCTGGGTCCATGGTGGGGTCCTAGCCTATGCTGACACTAGGGGCCATGTCTGGGTTCATGGCTCTGCAGCAGCAGGGATCTGTTACCACCAAAGGCCTGGTGAATGTCCCTGGTCTGCACTGTTACTTGTGGATATGTTTGTATCTGAGAACTATATAGAACTAGCCTCACTCTTCACCTGGGCATTGTGGAAGATCTGGCCCTGGGGGCATGAGAACAAGAGAGCTGACTCCACCCTTAGCCAGCTGCAGTACTCAGGAGAATAGGCCCTGCCACCTTTCTGCAGTTCAGTGATATGGGCTGAGAGTTTGGTGACATAGATTCAGAGAGATGCCCCTCTCACCCCTTGCCACCTATTGCAGGCAGG